TGGCTTAACAAATTCGGCGCATGCTAAGCGAAAATTGTTTATGTTAAAAATTAGTGTCTTTCATTCCTTACACATTATGTCGAAGTAGCATAAATTACGTCATTTTGAACTTGTTGATGTTCTAAGTGCTCCTTCAAATTTTGTTGGCTTTGTATTGTCATTCCTGCAACAGTACCCATTCGTAGTTTCTTTGTGTTTTCAAACCGAATTGTAAAAACATATTCAACGTACGTTATTTCGAACAAACTTACCCAAGTATATTAGGATGCTTGAGCTTATTCATGAGCTGTACCTCACGGAGCATGTTGGGCCGGTTCGCCCTTTGCTGGTTCATCTTCAGCACCATCACTTTTCCCGATGTCTTGTGGGTCACCTGGAATTTCAACATGTTACTTTTTAGATTTATAGTAATATGTATATATTATATTATATTTTGCCTCTAGTAAATTTGATACATTTTGTGAACTAAAATAAATTTTTCGAGCATTATATGCCAAAAAACTCCATTTATCACGTCCACTGTAGATTTGCATCGAAACTGCTGGGTTAATAAATTTCTGCAACCATACTCATAAATACAAGCTCACTACATCGAAAATATTTCTTTATAAAATATCTCTTGCAGTTTGAAGATATGACATCCTCTCCACTAGCAAATGAATAGGATTGCAAAGATACATAATTTTGTAGTTAAGTATCTACCGAGTGAACACAACACTAAAGTCAAAAAACTTCAGAAATAGTCGGCGCTTCAATTAAAACACTTATATTTCTATCTGAATTCAGATCTCAAAATGTTGAACAGTTTGCGAACAAATATTTAAAATTTATGTGCAGTGGCAATTAAGATGTTCTTAAATAATATCACAAGACTACGGCTGGTTTGCCTTACGGCGCTTCTGTCAATTTGTACGAGCTTCAGTCTTTATTATGATTGTAAGTAATTGGATTGTGGACGATGCCATGCTCATAATGACGATTTCTTACTGAAAACCTTGGGAAGATTGGGACCAAAACAATATTACTGCAGAGATTTTAAGAATGTCGTGAACACGAGACACAATCATTAAATTCGTACGGTAAATATTTTGGCAACGTGGCTGGTTTAGAATATGATGCAAAAGATGCCAAATGTAATAAAAAAGGAAGGCATGCGTTTGAAAATTAACAAAATCCAAGATGAATTCGATAACACTTGCCATGCCCGCACAAGCCGTAAACAATTGAGAATGTTTACGGGGATCTCCGTGTATCTAGGCCGAGACGTGTTCCAGACTAGATCGGATTTCTAGATTTCTAGTCGGCCGCACGGATTAACCGTTGCGAGCGCCTTTACTTTATTGCGCTCTCTTTCGAAACTGCGTAACAGATTAGTTGCTCGTTTCAGTTCCTGATTTATTCAATACTACTGGCCCGTTTTAGTAAGATTCGTTAGCATTGTTTCTTGATAGACAGTCTTTATTTGACAGAGAGATAAGCAAAAGAGGGCTGACTAGGTTTTAGTATGGAATTGTGTCGGAAACGTCTACACGATTAATGCCAGAAATGGGTAAAAAAGTTCTTTGTATGTATACCATTACGGTCTAGCTCGAACTACAAATAAGTCCCGGCGCCCGTTGGCGATACGGCATGGCAAAAAGTCCTTCAGCATTCGAATGTGCAAGCATACAATGACGTCAATTATGCCGCGGTATCCTTAGGCGTACCGAAGCATATAGTCGCGAAATCGTATTCGCGCCTAGCTACTCTTTAGATCAGTCGTAACGTTGCGAGCTGGTTCATTTCATTACCAGTTGTATATTTTAAAATCTGAAGAAGAGAATCACATTCCGAGAAGGAGGAGATTTTGGGTGAATAACCTTCGAAAGCCTGCTGAAGTATTCCGGATGCTTTCGGCTCGGTATCCCTAGGCATACCGCAGCTTCGTTTTTGTAAAGGCGATCATTACACTTGAAATTTCAACTATAATGTCATACTGTTAAGGTACTTTAGTCTGATAAGTGCACACTCCAGTCATTAGCACCTAAGGAAGTCACAGTCACCACACTTTTAAAGGCGAAATTGGCTTGGATCGGTCAGATAAACTTTTATATTTATGCATTAAGAGCAAATTAGACGTTGTGCGTTTCGCATTAGGCGTCCAACTAAACAGAAAATCTTTTTGAGAACGAATTATTACTATACATGTATTAAGAATATGTTTCGTCTGAACTTCCATATGACTAGTTACATAAATCGTGAACTATTGAAATTCGGACATTAGAAAAGCCATTAAAATACGTTTCGTTTGCATGTGTAACTTAATAAATATTATTGTATATTCAAGGTAAGTTGGAATTTTATCTGGTTTCCGTGTGCCAATAATCTAGATAACGCCAATATATAAATATTGTCTTTTCGATATCATTGTAACCATAAGGCGATACGCTTTAAGATAACGAAATCGATGTTTTTGTCACGTGTAATTACAAAAAGGTGCAATCGACGATATTACGAATGTTTAAATTCCTTTACTTTTCTCGATTTTAGTCTCGACTTTTATGTCACCTTGTACTAAAGTTAAGTACGTCTTAAACCATGCTTTAATTGATAAGGCACTCTTAACACAATGTATTAAGAGTATCTTTTACATTGCAAGCATTGGTTTAATAATCTATTTAAGTTTAGTGCAACTGGACATTAGTCTTTTAGATTACTCGTCTTCGTTTTAGGTTGGGCTTTAGGCGCTTATTTTACTTTGAATTGCTGGTTGCTTTTGCGTTCGCCGTAGTCGTCTCAAACCCGCGTCACTGGGTTTGAGGGGGACGTTCGAGGCATCGGCCTCTTTCGGCGGGGTCGATCGCCACTCGTAGAGACGAGCAGGTCCTGGGGTTGTATAACCTTCGGGTGTCATAACACTTCTTATTTAAGAGCTAGGATCTTGTCCAAGGAGTAATTGCCAACTGCACCAGTTCAACGTCTTAACTTTTGATTTTCTGTTACGACACATAGCGGTCCATTAATTTTCAATTACGCCTTCAAAAACGATTAATTTAAAAAACAAATACCTATATAACAAAACGTTTCCACATTGAGTAACGAATATGTTTATGAATGTGGTGCTGAAGACGAATGGAAAAAATAAAATGAATTGAAAAAAGATCAAATGAGGAAGTTTTGGAAAGGGTTGGGGAGGAGAGAAGTCTTTTGAATGCAATAGAGAGGAGAAGGGGGAAAATGTTTGGACATTTGTTGTGTAATAACGAATTCTCACAAGAGTGATAATTGAGAGGAGAATAGAAGGGAAAAGAAAGAGAGGTTTTCCTCTCCAAGAATGGCGTATGGCGAACAAATAAAAAAGAAGACCAAAGTGAACAGCTATAGAGAGGACAAAGAACTGGCTATGAAGCGTCTGGCTCTTAAATAAGATGATGACAATTGACATATTGTCACAACATATTTCTTTTTTCTAATAATAACTTCAGCAAAACGGTGATATTGTTTTCAATATAAATCTTTTTTTTATGATACCAAGTGACTGGACGAACAAATCACGCGCCAGATGGTAAGTGACAAACCTGTCCCTAACAATTGTAGTGACGCTCAGAGTTTTAAATCGCAATGATTTGAGGGCACTACCACTGCGTCCGTCACCCTGAGACACAAGTTGACAAATTAAATGTGCCTGTCATTTCTCCCTTGTTTAAACTGGTAAAATAATTATTTATAACCTGAGCAGTGTTTTACATATCTAAGTCCTATTCATTATATATTTTAACACGATTTTTCATTTGAAATTCAAAGTATCAAAATAATTTATCGGGGACTCAAATGTTGGCAAGTGTTGTGCCTTCGCTAACGATTCATCAATTTAGTCTTCCCCTCTTGTAGGGTCACAAGTTCAGAGTGGGGAGGGGCGGCGTGAAACAGTCATTTATACCCTTCGGTGTCAAATCCATGGTGTGGAAATGCGAATAGGCAGTTCGATAACGTTGTGGTTATTGGAGGAGAATGTATTATTTTTGGGTGTGTTAGATAGATTTTACTATGGCTATATTTATCCAACTATTAGGTGAGATTTAGGTACAGATGGCAGCATGTCAAGCTACACATACACGGATCTAGTTTCGTTGCACTGGAGGCTTTATTCGAACAAAAGTATATAGCTTGATGTGCTGTTGATTGTACATGGAAGAAGTAGAGATGGGGTTGGGGTCAAAATTTTTAAAAGGTTTTCTGCCTAAACTTGTTTAAAAAATGTATCCAACAAATTATTTTCATTTTTAAGTTGTATTCAATTATTATGGTATACGAGTACTTAAAATGATTTATTGAGTTCTTAGGTTTTCGCGATTGTTACAGATAGGAAATGAAGCTATTTTTCCGGACTTAAATCGCGGATGTTTGTTTTTTCAAACAAGCCAACGTTTTGGGCCCTTTACAGGTCCCACCAGAGTCAACCGTGACCAAGGGAGATGTAAAGGGCCCGAAACGTTGGTTTGTTTGAAAAAAAACAAATATAAGCGATTTAAATCCGGAAAAATAGTTTCATTATAATGATTTGTTAACCTATCTCAATGTTGAATATCCTCTTTGTATAATAAATTAATAATTACAATGAATTATAACAAATTAGTGAAGTAATTTCATACAAAACAAAATGAATCTCATGATAGTAAAAGCGTGAAAATATAGAAAAAAATATTTTAATATTTATATTTTTGAAATAAATAACCAAAACTACAGACCAGGGCCATATAGGTACAGGATATTAACTTTCTATAATACTAAAGCATTGTGCTTATCCTAGCTCGGTTACTTGTATATTACCGTCGCTGCTTACCACACTAACCTACGTAACTTACAATTATGACGAAAATGATTATTTATGTACATCAGAATAGATAATATTCACAATCAACTACGTCAATAACTTTTTTCCGTCAGTAATGCAACTTAAGTTATTCGTGGTTAAGGGGACATTAAGAATTGCCATTGACGTGAATTGAGACGCGTTGTTACCTCGCGGCTATATCGCTTATTGTAACACTGAAAACCGTAGCACAAACATTATGATATTTATTATCAATATAAAAATTACGCAGTGTCAATACTACACGCATTCAAAGATAAACAAACATACGTTAAAGCGTTCACCAAACAATTCAGTGTCTTTTGACGTTGACAATTCGATGTTCAAAATTGTACCTATGTATTTTGTGTTTCTTTATATAGGAGGAAGTGTCGATGTGTCCATATAACCATATAACGTAAATTTCAACTGATTTGCCAAAGAAGTTACATTCTACAACTCAGTGATAGGTACTGAACAAAATATTTGACAAAGGATTTGACGCATACCGGCTACATCGGCTTCCTTTCAAACATCCATTC